TTAAAGTCAGTTTTCACTCTGAAAAATGTGTGTTAAAGTGACAGTGTGTATACCTCAACTGCACATGAATTACACATGTATTATATCCAAGTGGTATGCACTACAATGTTTGCGGGGAATACTGATGGGTGCTTCACGGAATCCATGTGATTCATACTAGCCTAGGGCAACTTTATTTTGCACAAGCTGTTAAACCAGTGGTGGGCAGCCTGTGGCCCGTCAGGGTAGTCTGCTGGCAGGCTGCAAGACAGTTTGTTTACATTGACCATCCGCAGGCACAGCTGCCCATAGCTCCCAGTGGCTGCGGTTCGCCGTTCCTGGCCAATGGGAGCTGCAGAAAATGGCACAGGCCGCAGGGACATGCTGGCCACCGCTTCCCGCAGCTCCCATTGGCCAGGAACAGTGAACCGCGGCCACTGGGTGCTGCGGGCAGCCGTGCCTCCTGATGGTCAATGTAAACAAAGGTTTCAGAGTAGCAGCCGTGTTAGTCTGTATCCGCAAAAAGAACAGGAGTACTTGTGGCACCTTAGAGACTAACAAATTTATTAGAGCATAAGCTTTCGTGGACTACAGCCCACTTCTTCGGATGCATATATTATGCTGTAGTCCACGAAAGCTTATGCTCTAATAAATTTGTTAGTCTCTAATGTAAACAAACTGTCTCGCGACTTGTGAGCGGATTACCCTGACGGGCCAGAAGTTGGCCACCACTGTGTTAAACGCTGCAATGCCAAGTTGCACCAGCAGTTAGTTGCTCTGTCTCTATCCCATCCCTGTATCCACAAATACACACCCCTTTTACTTAGGCTAATCCCCCACCTTTCTCCTTCTTGCTCAGTCCTTACATCTACACCTCTCACTCTCCACTGACATCTGAGATGCATATTTCAGCCTGAGTTCTGCCTAAGCCATCATAGGCCAGCATTCTGACTTGTGATTTACAGTTAAATAAGGACTGAATTGGACTGTAAAAAGTAGATTATGCTATTAAGTAAAAATCCTGAATAGGGTGTGGTTTAGGGGAAAAGGGAAAAATTGCACCATCCATTAGCAGGATGCATTGGCCAGTGTATGTGTTTTGGGGAGGTGGGGAGACAAATCCAGATCCCCAACTCCTTCCTGGCCCATTGGGATAATCTGTTCCCTTGGGGGGACAGAGACAGGAAGCAGTCTTTAGATTCCATCAGTCACAGGAATTGCAATGCCTGTGAGAGAAAATTGCACAGTCATGCACTTTGTCTTTAAGGATGGAATTTTCAAAATGTCTAAGTGAAATAGGAGTAAACATCCCATTGACATTCAAAATCCCACATTTAGTGCTCCTCTGTGCATCTGGTTACCCATCCCTAATATAGACATCCACAAAATTTGCAAAAAAAAAAAGTGTTCAGTAGTTATTACAAAAGAAAGCAACCATCCTTAAAGCCATTATATTTAAAGGCCCACACATTTGTTGAAAAGATATTTGCATATAAAGTGTCTGAATATCAATCAATTGCATAGTCTCAAGAGACCTGGCAGAAACAATCGTTGTATTTGTAAATGAGTCAGGGTATTAAAAACCAGATTTGTCACATGGTTTAATATCCTATTTGTGTGCATAAATGTGCCTTTTGTGTGCTGAAGTTTAGACTTCCATTGAAAGTTTGACCTAACTAGGTCTCTCATCACTAACAATCATGTCCCAGCTCACTACTTTTCTAGCACTGATTTGTGGTGATGCATGCAAGGCCTGAGCAAAGAGAGGTTTCCTGTTGTGTTATTAAACAAATAGAGGAATGTATGATTATGTAAAAATATATATCAGTCTTAACTAAGGAGGGATTAGAGATGTCTGAATAATTTCCAATCTTTTTTTTTAAATAAAAGTTCTCCTTTTGAGTTTGCAGTTGTCCATTAGATTTTTCCAGTTCTCAAATTCATTTGCTAGTCACAATTAGTCAAATAATCTGTGAATACTTCATTTCTACTCATAGTTTCATAATTCCATAGATTCCAAGGCCAGAAGGGACCATTGTGACCATCTAGTCTGACCTCCTGCATACGTCAAGAACATTTCATTGTCAGTATTCAAGGCGTAGATCCGACACATGGTCATATGTTGTGCTTCTGTTTCCTGACTGGATAAGCGTAACTCTGTGAATAAGGCTTCTGGTGAAAACACGTGTAATTATGATGGCAAAATTCACTCTACATTAATGTTCTCCAGTATCCACTTAACATTTTCTGTTTCCATTACATTGCTGATAGTAAACTTTCATGATCGATGAATATAAAATACTATTGAACAGACAAACTGAAGGTGTTTAACACACATGCACACGAAGATGCCGAGACAGTCTTTTGCAATATGGGCCTAGCGCTAGTAATTAATTATGCATGATACCATGAAGATGATGTACATTACATTGTATATTACAAAGGAATTAAGGTTTTTAATGCTCTTCAGAATGGTTTTAGACTCTCCTGGTGATTGTGCTAACATTTTGCCTGGAGATAAGAGTTCTTTTAGGAGACAAAATTGAGAAGCCCTTTTATAGTCAATGTCAATGTTTTGGGGTGAGTTGTAGGAATCCTAATAAAATCATGCCCAAAAGCATTTGTAACGTAGGGAATTGGTTGGAATACAAATCAGTCCGTCTTCCTATTTACACGTATATTATATTATGCTCTCTCACCGATGTCGGACTTGTAGCTGGGACACAGACAGCTGTTTATTGAAGGCCAGTTTGTGTGCTGCCTTTGTTCAGGCTTCTCTGTCTAGCCTTAGGCGGCTGTACTACAGCAATCCTCATGATCCCTGCACTCTAATGTGTACATTGCTCTCTCCTGCTCCTCCCTAAGGAACAAGTTGGCTGAAAGGGGTTGGGTAGTCAGGAGGCCCCCATAGTGTGGGGCAGGGACTCTAAAGGAGAATTCTACACCAACTATTGTGTACCTTGCTGCTCAAGGAGGAGCACCAGGAGTGATCATGGCTGCCTGAGGCTCAACTTCCCCAGTGCTGGCCAAGAGCAGCTCTAAACTCTCAGGGCTTGTGGCTACATACTGTTTGCTAGCTTGCAGACACATGCATTTTACATTTATTTTGTTTCCTTTCGCATTATATTAAGTGAAATAAAAGGCTTTCTAAGCAATGGGGTTTTTTTCCCCATCCTTCTTCTGAGGTCTAATTATAAGGCTTCCTTCTCCCTCTCCCCAACTTCTGTAGTCATGAAATATTGGCCTATTATGAAATATGGTCCTGTCCTCCAGTCATTGTTAGCAGCTTGCCACCATTATTCAACAAGACATTTCTAATACATAAAAAATATTAAGCTTTATAATATCTCTGTCCTCTACTATTAGATATTTAATAAGGCTCAAAATACATGTGAGTTAATATGACATTTTAAAAATACCAAAAGGACCGAATTCTGGATGGAGACCATCATGGTTACATAGCTAGCTGTACTTGTGACCCCTCTCTGGTGTCAGAGTGCACCCCTTTACAGCTCAGGCCTTCCCCTCTGTCAGGGTGGAATCCTGCAATTCTCCCTCTCAGACCAGCTGCTGGGCTACGGCATCCTGTATACTGACGCTGGTTCCTCAGCGGGTCCAACTGGCTTCAGCACCTGCAAGGTTTTCTCTTGGGAGCTTGGAACCACCAGCATAAGAGAAAAGAAATTTTAAAATACTAAAAATCTATATATGTCTGTCTTACTTTAAGCCCTACTACTCTTCAGACCCTCCAGATGCATCTCTCTCTCTCTCTGCAGCTGTCTGTTTTCCACAAACAGCAGTCTGACAACTACCTCCCACTTCTCTCTAGAGAGACATTTTTTAACGGTTTAGTATCCTTTTGATCTTTTAACTCCCTAGCAACACAAGTCTTGTAACTTGTCTGGTGCCTGGAAGCAGCATCTTCCCAGCTAATAGCTCAGGCACTGTCTCTTAATGACCCCTACGGCATTTACAAAAAGGTTGCTTATCTAGAGCCATTGTGTTGCCTTCCTTCTAACAGCTTTGTTATTAAACTAACCTAACCTATGCACAAAAGTTGCAATAACCCAATCTAGACATACAGCACCTATCCCAATAACGAGCTCACATACACTATTAAAAAATGACAACAGATTAGTCCCAGATCCTTCACAGACACAACGAACAATAAGAATCATACAAAGCAGAGATAAAGTTTTCTACCCATCCTGGCTTGTGGAGGAGTATTCCAGAGACATGTAGTCTGATCAATGCTCCATTCCCTGGCTGTGGAGTTCAGGTCAGGAGTTAAGGAGAATGTCATGAGACTGCCAATCACCAGAGGCACCTTCCAGCAGCAGGTCACACCACAAGTGTACCTGCCTCAATTTCCCCTTCATTCACCCATGCAAAGGGATATTGTCTCTTTCAACAGCAAATTCAACCCCTTTTTTCATATCAACTGTCAACATATCAATAATAAGAACCACTCCTCTCAAACCCCTAAAATAAAACAACACAGCAGCCCTGCCATCCCCTGCAAAGGTCCCTGTTTCCAGGCCATCCATTCAAGAATCATCAGCCACTTGGTCACAGTTCTTTTAGCTCCTGTTTGAGGGCCCCACTCCACAGGCCTTCTACTCAAGAGTTCCAAGACCAACTTCCCTCCCACAAGTCTTCTCCTCTAGCCTGAAGTCAGGTTTCCTGCAGCAGAACTCCCCATAGAGTGCCACCCTGCCTGTGAGTCCTACCCCTCCCTGCTCAGGGAATGTCTCTCCAGGACCAACCTCTTGGTCTCAGCTCAGCTTCCCATAGAAATCCATTCAGGCCTGCTGCAAGGGGGCTTTCTGCCGTGTTCCACTCAGCCAGGCCTCCTGCCTGTGAGTCCCACCCCTTCTCATGGAATCCACCCTCCAGCATCAGCCCTCTTGTTTTGGGCTCAGCTTCCTCTAATCAGGCTGGTTCTTTCCCTTCTTCCTAGGACCTCTGCCTGAGCTCTCCTTTAACTCAGCAGGGGTTACTCAGCTCTGGCCAGTGCTCACCATCAACCTTTTTGGTCTCTCCAGTGGCTGTCTATACCAACTCTCCTCTGCTGCTGCTACTTCCTTCTGGATTTTTGCTTTCTCCTTCAGGCAGCTCCCACCTGCCCTTGTTTGTGTCTCTCAGACAACTTTGACTCACCAGGCCTCCCTCCCTTCTTAGGCACAAAGGCCTTCAGTTAAATGGCAGCTAGCTAATGAGTCACAGGTGCACTGGACCTTGCTTTCTCTTAAAGCAGCAAATCACCCTGTATAACTCTATATAGAGAGATAAGATGATATCTATCATTGCTAGAGAGCCAGTGGCCTCAATTAAGAAAAAAATCCCCTTTATAGGTATTAATCCTGTCTCTAAATCCAGGCTGAATCCTGTCTCTTCCATAGGGCACATGGCTCATAATGTTTTTGACAATGCAACTTCTGCCCTAGACAAGCCCGTCACATGCACCATGAAGGAGAGAGGTTAAATGCATGTGTGTCAATGTACATACGGAATCAGGCATGCACTGAAAGCGAATGAACATAAATCCAGATTTTGACCCTAAGTGTTCTTCCTATAAACACAGAAGACCAAATATTATAGTCCTTCCTCAGACAAAACTACCAGGCAGTGAGAATTTCACCTTAGGGATGCAATTGTCAGTTTATTTTTGAAAACACATAATAGCTTTAAGCACTATGCAGATTTATGGGCGCATTTTAGTTAATTAGTTTGTTTAGCACCAAAAATTTATCAGTTGCTTTATGATGCATTATTCATACTTTTATACATTTTAAGGTGATTTCTTTATCTACACTAACCAGATGAATGTTATGTTTGAATGGATACAGTTATCTGAGAAGTAATTGCATATTACTTGTTTATACAGGTCATTAACCCTGTCAAGTTTTAATTCTGGAAAAATAAAGCCCCAAATGAAAACTGCTGTCTGAGCATGTTGGTTATTGTTGAAGAAAGGTTATAAAGCAATGTTTCTAATAACATAACTACAACCTCTCAAATCCTGTATTCAAAATATGGTTTGACTAGAAGCTGACAAACGGATCAATGTACGCCTTAGTGAAACACCTTCAAACTGGGAAACTGAATCAGTTACCATGCAACAAGGTTTTTCAAATGTGCAAAAATATAATTTTAATATTTGTTTACAACATTCTACAACATAGTACCATAGCAATTGCTGTACCAGATCAGATGAGTGATCCATCTAGTACAGTATCCTGGCTTTGATAATGTCCAGTACCAGATGCTTTGAAGAAAGGTTTAAAAAACAAAACAACAAAAACAACATACTGAACAATTATGGGATAAATTGCTCATAGCAAAAAAAATGTCCTAGCCCTTAAATTAGTGGTTGATTTACCTGAAGTCTGAAGGTTTATATCCATAATAATTTTTTAGTATAATCCTGTGTAATACAATCAGGTGTTCTCATTAGCCATATAAGCCTATTTTCATTTACACTAAGGCCACGTCAAACCATTCTGGGAGTATAAAGGGCACTAAAGTGAGTATCAATGTAATTTATGTTCACTTTACAATTTATATACACTTTATGTACACTACTTTACAGTAGTGCAAAGGAGCCTTTATATAAATGATAATCAGGTCCATAAATATAGCTAATGTTTTCTGAATTCTACTAAGCTCTTAGCCTAAGATACCTTATATCAAAGAGTTCCATAAGTTAATTGTGTTATTTTTTAAAATCCTCTTTCAGTTTTGAATATTTTACCTCTCATATTCACTGAATGTTCCATTATTCTTGTATTATGAATGAGACTAAAGAGTGCCTAGTTTACTTTCTCAATTCCATTCATAATTTAATATACCTCTGTCATGTCAGCTCATATCCAGGTTCTCTAAAAAAATTAATAGTGCCAGTTTTACAGCCTCTCTTTATAAAGAAGTCTTTCCATATCGCTAATTCTGGTCACCTCAAATTTTCAATTATTTTTCATGAACTTCATTCATGTTTTCAACCAGCATTCATAAAATAATGTTCACAGAAATCCTTAAAGGAGCATCATCCAGGATTAAAATGTCTCTTTTGCACTTTGATGACATTTTTTCCCTGTGATTGATATAATTATTATATTCTTTGCATGGAAGATCCTGGCTCTCCCATGCCTCACACTTTGTATCAAGAAATGGAGTTTGCACATGTAAATTTGGACTTATGGGCACCTAAGCATTTTTGTCATATTAGTCTCCACTCCCATTTCTGGCTATCTATATTGTGCGGAGAGGTCGGATGCTGCAGCAGATGTGGGAGGATACATGTCTGACAGCTCTTTCCTTTTCTGCTAAGATTCATCATTATCCTGATTAGGAGGGGGATGGGGGGAAGTAAGAATTGAAACGAGAATGTGTTGAACAGGCCTGGATCTATTCAAAGAAAGAGAGAACACAGTCTCATTAGTTAACAATGATAAAGCTAGAAAAATAATGAATTTTATCTGAAACAAAAGGAATTCAGTTTAACAGCAGAAAAACTCTGTTTACAGTGAAGCCTATTAGTCAACTAGAACGAGCTCAGTTTCAAAGAGGAATACAAATTATTTGAAATGCTAAAGTCACACAGGCTCAAATTTTCAAAAGCCTCCATTGTAGGTGCCTTTAGATTTTTGGGTGCCCGAACAGAAACATGGAGAGTCTAACCCAAACTTATTTGGCCTACCACCCCCTTTTCAGAAAAAAAATTACTCAG